GGCCGGTCGCTGAGCTTCGCTGTGCCTCGCTTTCCCCACCTGTAAGTTGAGCTGGCTGTCTCAGCTGGGTTCTTATCGCCGTGTGCCCGGAACCTCGCCGAGGGCTGTCTCCACGGGCTTGTAAACTCGGGGAGGGCTGAGCCTTTTCCTCCCCACCGCAGCCCGGGCCCTGGCCGAGTGCCTGGAACGTGAAGGCGCTCGCTCTTTTATTTGCCGTGTGGAAGAGCATAAAGGTCCGGGGCCCTACGGTAGGGGCTTCGTGAATGGACACCCTCAAATCACCTGGGGTCCACCGCTCACCAACAGCGAGCTTCGGGCTTCAGACAAGCGACTTCTCATCTCTGACTTCATTTTCCTCATCTACCTCGTGGGTGGCTGGGAGGATTCAGTGAAATAAATAACCCATGGCAGTCACACGTATGTTCTCAATAGAGGGTCCAGGCGCAGTGGTTCACACCTGTAATCCCTTTGGATTACAGCACTTTGAGAGGCCGCGGCCAGAGGATTGCTTGAGCCTAGGGGTTCAAGACCAGCTCGGGCAACATAGCAAGACCTCGTCTCGACAAAAAAATTTTAAAAGTAGCCAGGTGTAGCGCGCCTGTAGTCCCAGCTACTCAGGAGGCTGACGTGGAAGGATCGCCTGAGCCCAGGCGGTCGAGGCTGCAGTGAGCCTAGGCAATAGAGTGAGACCCTGACTCAACAAAATAGATAAATACAAGATGCTATTTGTATTTATTTATTTCTCCAGGATGTGAAAAAAGCTGCTATTTGGGAAAATTTAGAAAGCAAGGAAAATACAAAGGAATTGGGTGGCTTGGGAGATTCTTGGTATATACATAAATGTTGGGTCTATTTTGGATTTATAGAATTCTGAGCCAGGTGAACATACTTTTTTTTTTTTAGTTGGAGTCTCACTGCCTCCCAGGCCGGAGTGCAGTGGCATGCTCACAGCCACCATAGCCTCAACCTGCTCGACTCAGGCAATCCTTCTGCCCCAGCCTTCCAAGTAGCTGGAACTACAGGTGTGCCACACTGCCCAGCTATATTTTTTTTTTTTTTTTTTTTTTTATTGTCGAGACAAGGTCTTGCCAAGTTGCCCAGGCTGGTCTCAAACCCCTGAGCTCCGGCAGTCCTCTCGCCTCCGCCTCCCCAAGTGCTGGGATTATAGGCGTGGGGCCGCTGCGCCTGGCAATGAACATGCTTTTCAACAACAGATACAATTGAAAATAAAAATAAATCCAGCCCTGGAAACAGAAATGTTGACTAGTATTTACATGTGGCAGAAGAGGTGTCTAAAACTCAGAGAGGGCCTGAGACCTGCTCAGGGTCAGGAAAAGCCAGAAAATGGCAAAGATGAGACTTGAATACCAATGTGTTGGACTCCAGACTAAATACAAGAGGAGTGAACGGGAAAGCCCTCCTCCCTCACTTGCTCTTCAGTGCTTCTTCCAGGAAGAGGAATCCCAGGCCAAGCAGAGGGAGAGAGATGTGATTCAGTGAGCAGACCCCACAGGGCCAGCGAGGAGCTTGGGCTTAGTCCTGAAGGCGACTGGCAGCCAGGATGTGTCCTGACTTCACTTACCAATTTCCTCTGTTTTTAGGGGTTTTTTTCTTGTTGTTTTTTTTTCTTTTTTGAGTCAGAGTCTCATTCTGTTGCCCAGGCTGGAGTGCAGTGGCACGCTCCTGGCCACCGCAGTCTCGACCTGCTGGGCTCAGGCGATCCTTCCACCTCAGCCTTCCAAGTTGCTGGAATCACAATCGTGAGCCACCACATCCAGCTTTTTTTTTTTTTTAATTATAGAGACGAGGTCTTGCCAAATTGCCCAAGCTGGTCTCGAAGCCCTGGGCTCAGGCAGTCCTCTCGCCTCTGCCTCCCCAAGTGCTGGCATGAGCCACTGTCCCGGCATACCAATTTCCTCTTCTTGAGAGGTGTTCAGCCCTTCCACTCCCACCCTTCAAATTTTCCCACGCTGGGCACGGTGGCTCATGCCTGTAACCCCAGCACTTTGGGAGGCAAGAGGATTATCTGAGCTCAGGGTTTCAAGACTAGCTGAGCTGGCGAGACCTCGTCTCTACAATAAATCAAAAAATCAGCCAGGCTGGTGGCACATGCCTGTGGTTCCAACTACTTGGAAGGCTGAGGTGGAAGGATCAACTGAGCCCTGCAGGTCGAGGCTGCGGTGACCGTGAGCGTGCCACTGCACTCCAGCCTGGGTGACAAAGTGAGACTCCAACACAAAAAAAAATTTCCCAAGCTTGCCAAAGCAGTGGCTCACGCTTTTAACCCCAGCACTTTGGGAGGCCGAGGGGAGAGGATTGCCTGGGCTCAGGGTTTCAAGACCAGCCTGAGCTGGCAAGACCTCGTCTCTACAATAAATCAAAAAAATCAGCCGGGCCTGGTGGCACATGCCTGTACTTCCAGCTATTTGGAAGGCTGAGGCAGAAGGATCGCCCAAGCCCAGCAGGTTAAGGCTGCCATGCCCATAAACGTGCCACTGCACTCCAGCCTGGGTGACAGAGTGAGACTTTTACTCAAAAAAAAAAAGAGAGATTACTGCTGTTAACATCTTAACGTAGATACTTTCAGGTTTTATTGCTTATTGTTACTTTTACCCGCATCAAAGCTGCAGTGTGTTATTTCAACACCTATTTTGTTCCACCTCGACCTGCAGGGCTCAGGTGATCCTTCAGAAAGTTTCGAATTCTGACTCTGCCAGTTAACACCCTTATCCTTCCAGTTTCAGTCAGTGAAACTGACTTTCATCACATCTCATAGCCAGCAGCATCCAACCTCTGTCATCCTAAGGCAGGACAGGTGAGACATACAGGCTGCCGACATTTAGACAGACTCCCCCGCAGATAGGCTGGGGAGAGGGTGGTCTCTGAGGCAATCTCTCTGGCGATCCTGCCTCAGCCTTCCAAGTAGCTGGCACCACAGGCATGTGCCACCAGGCCTGGCTGGTTTTTTGATTCACTGCGTGTGCTCCAGGTACACCCTCCTCTCCCTGCCCTCCCAAAGCTGTGGAGTGGCCTTGCTCTGTGCTCTGCCGGGGGGTCAGCCCTGGGTGGGGGAACTCTGCCGAGGCTCAGCCCTGGCTGCTGCTTCAAGGCTTCCTCAAGCCGGTCCAAGCCGGGAGCTGGACACCCACCCTCTCCTATGCTCCCCCAGGGCCCTGAAGGAGGGGAGGGGAGGCAGAGGCCCAGGCGACACACATCACCGATTAGGGGTGAGGGGGTAAGGAACCCCCAGGGGCCGAGGCTGGGAAGCCAGGTGTCACAGTGTGGAGTTGCCAGGAGGGACCGAGGCCCTTCTGCCTGACAGGGTCCTTGGAGTTTGAAAGGTTCTCTGCAGGTATGAGTGTGCATGTGGGTGTTTCTGTGAGAGTGTTCTTGTGAGAATCTGTGTTTGAGTTTGTGCAAATTGTAAGTAGAGATGAGGTTGCTGAAATGTTACCCAGCTAGGTGCGGTGGCTCAAGCCTGTGAGCTCAGCACTTTGGGAGGTGGCGGTGAAAGGACTGCCTGAGCTCAGGAGTTCGAGACCAGCCTGGGCCACTTGGTGAGACCTCGTCTCCACAATTAAAAAACAGAAAATAGCCGGGTATGATGGTGCATGCCTGTAGTTCCAGCTACTTGGGAGAAGGCTGAGGCAGAAGGATCGCTGAACCCAGCAGGTTGAGACTGCAGTGGTCATGAGCATGCCATTGCACTCCAGCCTGGGTGACAGAGTGAAACCCTGACTTAAAAAAAGAAAGAAAGAAAGAAAAGAAAGAAACTTTTATTTTTTGAGTTGACGTCTCCATCGCCCAGACTGGAGTGCAGTGGCACGCTTCCAGCCACTGCAGCCTCGACCTGCTGGGCTCCAGCAATCCTTCCGCCTCAGCCTTCCAAGTAGCTGGAACTACAGGCACATGCTACCACGCCCGGCTAATTTTTTATTTTATTGTAGAGATGAGGTTACACCAAGTTGCCTGTGTGGGTCTCAAACCCACGGGTTCAAGCAATCCACTCACCTCAGCCTCCCAAAGCGCTGGGATTACAGACTGAGCCACCAAGCCCAGCCAAGAAAGAAATCTTACATGGAACAGTGTTGTTGATGTTTCTATTTGGTTAGGTTTGTGAACACATGCTTATGTGTTTGTATCTATCTTTGTTTAGAAGTGTGTGTTTGAGACGGGCTCGGTGGCTCAGCCTGTAATCCCACACCTTTGGGAGGCTGAGGTGAGTGG